AGTCAAGGGACAGCAAGGCACGTCTGCAGCCGGCTGCCCGACAGCTCCAGCACCCTCATCAACGGGCTCCGCTGAAGGGCCCTGGGTTCCGACATGCTGCAATGTGGGAGTGTAGAACCTAAGCAGGTATTTCTGGGGGTTTGGAAAATGATGTGCCTCTGCAGGGATGTCTGTAGAGGTTAAAAACAAGATGTGATGGGGAGAGGGGGAACGTGGGGGTTTTTTTCATTTCAGAACTTTAACAAATGCACCCAACAACACGGAGCTGGGGCACGGCCTGCAGCTTAGTGTGCTCCACCGTGCTCCCTGCAGCCCCTTTCTCAGCTCCCCAAGGATTTGTGCCTCCTTTGAAGGCGGCAGTTGTTTGGAAAGGAATTTAGGAATCCCTTTCATTTGTTTCGTTTCCAGCTTTTTCCCCCCAGCACCACAGTGGTAAGTCAGAGATGGTAAAAGAGAAAGAAAAAAAAAACCCAAACCAAAAAAATGACATACCACGCCAACCCCCAGCTTCTCAAAATATGCAGGGTTTAACCCAATGTTTTCGCAATCGGGTGATAAGTTCAGTTTGGAGTTACTCCCTTGGGGGGGAGGATGCCAACAGCGCAGCCTGTGGAGGCCACCAGCCCGGCCTGCTGGGGGGAAGCTCACGGCAAAGCGAGCCGGCCGGGGTAACGCACCAGCTTTGCAGAGCAAAGAGGAAGTCATGTGCTCCCGGGAGACTTCACATTTGTTCCAACACTTGTTAACGTGGATGCCTTGAGCTGAGCTTCCAGAGGCACCACATCTCTCCCCATGTGGTACTTTGCCTAGTCAACACCTGAGATTTTTTGTATCTGCAAAGCCTGCAGGAAAAGATGACTCAGAAAGCAAATGGGAGAGGAAAAAAAGGGCGAATTTCAGGTATTGGTCCACATTGTACAATCGCGCCATTTTTAGCCTTGCTGACAAAGAGCTCGGAGGCATCATGCTGGTGCCCTAGGACAGTTAACTTCATACATCCGTGTTATCTTCATACATCCTGGCTCCCTGGACACGACCCACCACTGGGCTCGTACCAGCCCTGCTCTCAGCCTGAGATTAAAATTGCCTGAGAGGCCGCTGGTCCCTCACCGAAGGCCACCCAGTCGGCTGATGCACAACCCTCCTCCCTGCTTGCTTCCAGCAGCCAGACCTCCCCACAGTCCCCAAACGCAGAACCCCTTCCCCAACATGCCCCACTGCCCTCAGCACCCCAAAAAGAATGGTAGGAAAAAAACCCTGCCCTTGATTTTCCCAGAAGGTTTTCCCTCTGTGTGCAACAAGATTTAAAGGCAATACAAAGAGCTTTTATCTAAAATAAGTACAAAAAATCTGTTTAAGAGTCCAGCAATTAGTGCTGTTGCTGTTGAAGCCAAGACGATAAATCCACTCGGATGAAACAGGAGCGGCTGACAGGATAGTTTATGTCAGAGTCGGAGCTGCAAAGCCTTTCTTCTTTTCCTGGACTGTCACAGCAATTTTCCCTCCCTCAAGTCACAATACCAAGCATACTCCTGCTCCCATTGATTCTGCAGGAGCAATACTCCCACCAGCATGGAAGACTAAGTGCTGCCAACAGGCAGGAAAGAGGAAGGGAAGCGTTTTGGTCTTGCGTCCTTTCTCCCAGTAAATCCCCACCTGCTGAAGGGCAGCGGAGGCTCCCGCTTGCCTTGGGAGCAGGGCCACAGGAGGCTCTGGGCTTCTGCTGCAGGTTTTGGGCTTCTCATACTGCTCACGGAGCAGTTGGCCAGTGGCCTCTGCTCCGCTTGCAAAAACAGCAGCCAGAAAGGTTTAAATGCAATCAAGAGCTGCAAATACAAGTAAGCCAACACCAAAACCACCTTTGAAATGCAACATAACACACTGAAAAAGTTACCTTTATTCCTTGAAAGTCTGTCAAGTCTCCACAGGCTACTTTTAAATTTAACAGACATACTTACCCATTTTTTAAATGCCTTCAGTCTCCTCCCAATAAGCAAACCTATTTGATTTCCTTGCAGAAGAGTGGCCAGAAAGGAACAGGAAGGGTTTGTCAGTCTATGTCACTTAGATTAACTTGCATCAGGCTCTCTGCTGAGGTTGCTAGCAGGCTGCCGTCTGCCATGGCACAGACCTCTTCATTGCAATAGGGCGACCGCATTTTAGTAATTAGTGTAATACTAAAGCACCAGCCTCGCCCCGCAGCTTCCTGCGTCTGCTAGCACCCCTTAGCTGCGTGGTGTAAGGCTACTCCTGGCTGCCAGAATCCTCAAGTAAAATGTCAGTGTTTCAGCAGCAGCCCTCGATGTGCAGCACGGCAGCCCCCACGCCCCTTGGGAAATGGGGTGCAAGGGGGGAAAGCACCTGCACCCCCTCAGCCTGCCCCAGTTCTCACCCACCCCGGGTAGGATAGCGCAGGTTTCACCGGCCCCCGGAGGAAGGAGACACCCAGGCTACTTCCTCAGCCAAATTTCACCCAACAGCTCTGAAACGTGATAAATGCTGCTCTTCTCCTTGGTGGGAACAGTGAGGCGCGTCAGGAGAAACACGGTTCAACCAGACCCACAAGCACAAGGTGACAGCGGTGCTCATCCCCTGCAGGCACAGGGGCTGCAGGAGGGCTGGCTCGGGGAGGAATCCCACCGGCAGGCGCCGCCCCCCACTCC